ACATCGGTGAGTTCCACTGCACAGTCTCTCAGTACACGCCCAGGAATGTTGTCAGGACCCGGAGCTTTGCGTGCATTGATCCTGCTGAGGGATCTCCTCACGCTGTCCGGGGACAGCGTCACGCACACTCACTCACGCGCACACTCACTCACGCGCACACTCACTCACGCGCACACTCACTCACGCGCACACTCACTCACGCGCACACTCACTCACGCGCACACTCACTCACGCGCACACACTCTTGTACGCGCACACACTCTTGTACGCGCACACACTCACGCGCACACACTCAAATCTACTGGTATATACGACACAGTTGAGCTGCGTTTTTCTTTCTCTATGAGCCGTCCATCAGGAACTTCAAGGTGCGTTTCCATGTCATATTTAATATGACAGTGATTGATTGATTGATTGTGTATTGATTGGGTTCTTACGGCCATTCGCTCTGCGGTCAGCCACTCCTCCTCCTCTGGGTTTCCGTGCCGGTGCGTGTAATACGACACGCTCGAGATCACCTGGTTGACTTCATTCAGCGCATTCATTTTCCCATTAAATGAGGAAATCTGCAACAACCTGTAAAGCAGATGAGAGCAGATAAGACGAGGTCAGATCAACATCATAACTAGCAACTCAACAAGCTTTTAAACCAGGAACGACGGCTTACCTAAGAATCATTTTTAACCTGAAGATTTCCAGGTTCTTGACGGTTTCCTCTTGACCCGGAACTCTGGACGCCAGGTTCTTCAAGGACTTTATGATCATGGACAGAGCATCATTCTTGGCCTCGTTCTTGGCCTCCTTCTTCAGCTCCTCGTCTGTGAGGTTCTCCAGAAACTGTGGGACCATCTCGATTACGGGCAAGAAAAACTTCTTCACCGTGTGCAAAGTCAAGAACTCGTAGCACTGGCCGAAAGGTCTGGAAGACAAATCGAGAAACTATGAGACTCTGCGGAACATGCAGCAGCTCAGATGCAGACACGAGGGAGATGTCGGCTGTTTATTTAATGGACGTACTTTATGAGAGCTGCGATGATCTGCACGTTGAGAGCCTGGCCGCTCGTGAAGCGATCGTGCAGAATCTGGAACCCGTTCAACGTCCCGAACTTATTGATGAGGTCCACCAGCCAACCCTGAACCAGAGACACCATGACGAGGTCACGACCAAATCACACTGCTTACGGTCAAATATTATTGAGTCGTCTTCTTTTAAATATTAGCCTCTTTAACTAGACACAGTCACATGTGATTACACCAGTAACTACGTTCTAAAGAGGAGGTTAATTTATGTTTCACAGACACGTTTGTTTGTTTTTAATCAAATACATCTGAGTTTCCTTACACCGCTTCAGTACAAATGATCTTCTGTTCCTCAGCTGACTTGTGCATCATCCTGTCTGAACTGGAATTTTATTTTTATTTATTTATTTAACCAGGAAAGCCTCTCTGAGATTAAAAACCTCTTTCACAGGAGTGTCCTGGCCAAAATGGGCAGCAATTCAATCAGTTTCATCACAAATTTACAAAACAGAAACAAACTAAGAACACTTAAAACAATCACATATCACTGAGTCATCTTCCATTTGCAGAACAACTGTTTTAAAATGATCCAAAGACAGCTAATTTTGTCATTTCAGTTTCGACTGAAGAAGATTCCCGATATGGAGGCAACATCCCTAAGATGGCTTTATAAATGATTAAATACCAATGCATTTTTCTTCTGACAGACACCGAAGGCCAAGCTACTCTGCTGTACAAAGTACAATGATGAGTTGAAGGTTTACAATCTGATATGAATCTTAAGAGCACCATGATAAACAGCATCTAAAGAAGAAAGAAGACATGATGGCGCAAATTGATACACTACGTCACCATAATCGAGTAGTACAAATAAAAAAGTAGCAGAAACTAATTTCTTTCTTGCATTAAATGAAATACAAAACTTGTTCCCAAGTAAAACCCAAGCTTAATTTTTTCTTCAGTTGAGTAATATGAGAGCTAAAATATAGTACATCGTCAACAATGATGCCAAGGTATTTGTACTCTTTTACTAATTCAATCACATTACCCTGTAAGATCTGAAGAGAAATGTAATCATTTTCCAAATTTTTTGAACCTGAAAACAACACATATTTGGTTTTATCAGCATTCAACACGTTTTAAAGGGGTCATATGATGCTGCTAAAAAGAACATTATTTTGTGTATTTGGTGTAATGAAATGTGTTTATGCGGTTTAAAGTTAAAAAAAACATTATTTTCCACATACTGTACATTATTGTTTCTCCTCTATGCACTGCCTTTTTGAAACGGGTCGATTTTTACAAAGCTCATCGGTCTGAAAAAGTGAGGTGTGCTGTGATTGGCCAGCTATCCAGTGTGTTGTGATTGGCCGAATACCTCAAGCGTGTGACGGAAATGTTACGCCCCTCACCATACTGTTGATGCCATGTCCGGCCGGAGCGACGAGACAAAAACATTAAAACCCATTACAAACGAGGCATTTGTTGCATCCAGTGGGGACATA